CACAATTCCTCTCCTATTGGGCAAAGCTGACCGCTTTAAGCTATTCTCATTGACAGCCACCTGGCTTATCGAAGGAAAACTGTAAAATATAGCGTATTTTCTCTTTGCTAGTGATCATCTTTGAAGCATGCGCAAACAAACTGAATCCGCCAATCACAAAACTGCCAGAGAAGCTTTTTTAGTACCAATTGTAATCTTTCCAATACCAACTAGCGAAACTCGATCGGATTTATGCAGATATATAACGCCATTTATTAGAAAAGGGACTTCTTTTTACTACACCTAATATAAAGAAACGACTGTCTTTATTTTTTTTTATATTTTTATTGATCCGGCCATAATCGCGTATGTGGTATAAGTAAAATGCTGCAACTACTCATCGAACATACCTTCCGTCCATAACAACCGACTGAAAGATCGACTTGCATGCTACTGACAGCGGCGAAATGTTGCCAGCCGGCAGTGTGTTTGCACACTTTTGAACAAATTTATAATTTTATTTTATTTATATGTTTGAATATAAGCTCCAATCAAATATACATAATATATATGGAATAAAAAATGAATTTAGTTTTCATTTCCTTTGAAAAAACTACGCATTTTCCTCGTTAATTTTATATGAGTTTAAAAAAGTAAATACTGGCAACCTTGTATAACAAAGAGAAATGAGCCGAGCCGGTTTTACCGAAAAAAAAATCAAATCGCAGTTGGTTTCTACGGGGCAACCGTCAGTAACGGCATGGGCAAGCGGTGACAACTTTGTATTGATATGGCGCTCTCATAGGCTAGGCTGCTATGGATGGAAGGTGTGCAAGATGGGTAGTTGCAGCATAAGTGATTTATGATTCGTTACGGAACATATTCTTCAGGTGATATCTATGTATGTACATACATGCATACATATGTGCATAGACATTTTAAAGCGATTTTGTTTATGAAGACCTCAACCACCAAATAGATTTTAAACAAAAGTGAATTTTCAGACTCGAAATGTCCAACAGACAAGCAGTCATGTCGGAATGAGACTCTTACGTAGAGCAGCAAACATGGAAACTGTGTTGACCTGTATTCGTATACAAAATATATGTACATATTCAGACTAAACACGGGAGAGTTATCGCCGAAGTGAATATTGATAACAAGCACCGGAGAGCTGTCTCTCGGTCATAAAAAATCGTTGAGAAGATGCTAATCATACATTAAGCTTGTGGCTAGACGAATTTATATACACATAGATATATAATATGTACATATGATATACATATATATGTACGTTCTTTAACTATCAGAGCTCTTCTCCAACCTGGCCATCATCATCATCGTCATCATCATCATAATTATGCTCAGATCAGCGATGTAAATATTTACCGCTTTCGTTAGTAGAATTAGTCAAAAGTGCCATATATATATATATATACAAAAACATACAAACATACAAGTGTATGTATGTAAATTGTTATCGTAGAATCGTTCAACTAAATTCTGTTGTCAGTCGGCCAAGCACAGTGGCGCAGGTACGATATACATACATATTTATACACACTTTAATAGTATTTATGTAGATATTATTGTGGTTGTTCGCATTCTCTTTATTGTGGTTTCTTATTAGTATCATTATTATTATTTTTTTTTTTTTTAATTTTCATTTCTTCTTTGATGTGTCATTTGTTTTTGTCTCGCATCTTGAGTTCTCGGCTGCAGTTCTAAGCAAGCGGAGTGAAGTAGATCCGCTGTTATGTTGTTGTATTTGTAATTTTATTCTAGTAGTTTCATACATATTAATACTTTTTATGGCTACACTCTACATACATATATGTATAATATACTACAATATATATTCTTTATATACATAGACTAGTTCTCTAAGCAAGTCGCAGCTGGTAGTGAGATTCGGTTCTAGACAGAGCAATTGCACTCCTCCTGCTGATCATTCTGTTTATCATTCTGTTGCCGCTCTGAATGCATATTACTTTCGAGCCAATTGTAGGAGTACCTAAGAGTATATAAATATGTATGTATATAGCAGGAAGATCACAATATTTATATATGAAGGTACACATTTGCAAATACATATGTACATACATACATATGCATATTTGACAAAGAATCAAAGCCAAATAGACAGATGGACAGTCAGGCTGTCTGGCAGACTGTCGTTCGTGCAAAAGTCAAGCGAGCACACGAACTAGCGGATCAATTTAGCGAACTATCTTTATATATGTATGTATATATATGCATGTATGTATGTATGTATGTATCTACTTGGTGGTGCAAATAAAAATAATTAATAATTGTATGTGTTTTTCGTAGTATATACATATATATAAATATGTTCATCTTGTAGTAGGGTGATCCAATACGAAAATTAATATTTTTAAAAATAATATTAATAATTTGATTTAAATTTTTTTTACCCTTTTACTATGTATGCACATAAGAGTTTTATTAAAATTAATTTTGTGAGTTGATCTCACCATGGTTAAACCTCATGACCTTCCGCAGAGCAGTACGCTCTGGTAACCAGGCGGGGAGGTTTGGCGGGGCCATACCATAAGGGCATTGGTCTAACTATAGTGAAAACGATACCGATTTTTGTGTTAATCGATTATTGGTTGTCATAACCAGCTGACAATTCTTCTTCTTTACAGCCAGGTCATTTTCCGTTTGGTCTTTTCAACGGAGATCTTACCCTTCCTCTGCTTCCACCAGTTCAGTCGCTGTTTCATAAATCGCTGAATTTCGCCCTATATCCCGTATAGTTTATCGGCTGCGGTATTCATCGTACCGAACACGCAGATGCTATAAATCTTGCGCATAAACTTTCTTTCGAAAATGTCTAACGCTGGCTCATCAGATGTTGCCATCGCCGGGAATGATAAAGTACTTGTAGAGTTTGGCCATTATTCGTTTAGAGAAGATTATACACTTCAATTGCCCTCTCAGGTTCAAAGTAGCACCCATTGGTAAGAGTGATTTTGGGTGGGATCTATGGCTCTTCATTTTTGTTGGTCGCTCCAAGTTGGATGAAATTACTTGACTTTTCAAAGTTGTGACTGTCAACAGTGACGTGGAAGCTGAGTCGCGAATGTGATGACTTTTTATTTGACGGCAAGAGATATCGTATTTAGCTCTTGTTCACTACCAGACCAATAAGCTTCGCTCCTTAAGAGCGAAAGATGAGTTCAGGCGCAGTTTTGAGATTGCGCAATGTTTGTATCTTCTACATTCAGCTCTCCATAAATAAATTAAGGAAGTCACACGTTAAGTTCTTTTTGATGTTACTTAACGTTAGTATAAATCCGTATAAATTTTGCGGTGATACCAATTTCAGACTAAATACCGAAAAGGCAGCTCCTTTTCGTGTTGCCAATTACTACTTTAAAATCGACGAAGAGTTGGTGAGTGTTGATTCTCTTTTGACGGGTAATTTTCAAGATTTTCGCATAGTGAATATCTCGGCAATGGTGGGCCTACCAGGTCTAATGATACATTGATAAGGTCTGGACATCAGTCGCTAGATCACCTCTTTGGATCCTACATGAGTTTTCTTCGGTAAACCTTCTGTTCAACGTATACCGCTGTTGTCATACTTCTCTTCATGCTCATCTCTCGTCATCCATATGACTATTTTAGTAGATACTTCCATCGGTTATCAAGTTGCTTCGGATTTTGATCCAAATAATCTGTGAACTAGAACCAGTTGCTTAAAGTAGTTTTCGACAGCGGGTTCAGAAGATCTGAACGACGACATTCACCCTGGATATCTCAACATATAGACGAGGATAATTTGAAGAAGTGAAAAAAATGCTTCAAGTAAAGACTGTGCGATGGGCCTGTGATTGTGACCTTGAAACAAAATCCCAATTGTCGACAAACACATTGGTATCATTCTTCAAATACAACACGTCAAGATTGACAAAACTTTAAAGTTTCGTTAATACTTTTTTTAAATTATGATGGCGCAGGAGTTCTTATCAATAGATTGTGTTCCCAAAACCAACTTCATAATCGTGCCTTGGCCGCCAGGTCGTGATGTATCCTATCATAGAGTACACTCAGGCTGTAAAAGAAATAAATAAAATTTTAAGTTTGATCACATAAAATTTGTTATTCGGTCAAAAACAGCCTCGTATCGATTGGTCGAAAGAAATGTTAAAAAAGCGGTGCTTCGAAACACGTCTCTGACATCGTCACAGTTGAAGATGAGCCAATAAAACTTGTTCGCGAACGAAGCACTTTCAAGCAAATGAGTCCCGGATGTTTTATTTTTGGACAAACTGAACATGTTGTAGCCTTACCACTAGAACAGCGCCGAACAGTAAGTTCGGAGTGGTTTGCTAGTTGTCTTTCAAGATATCAAGTCAGATCACTCTTCACCACTGTAATACCAGCTCTCACACATTGACTGAAACAACTGCATTCATACTTTTGATGAATTATCCACCGTAAAGTTCTAACTTGGCACCGGTAGTCTTCTTTTTATTCCCGTATGTAAAAAATAAATTGGATTGGAACGCACATTTTTGGGATATATTTCAAGCGGGAAAAGTGTTTCGACGATTGGCTCAAAAGCAGGCAAAAAGAAGAATGTTTTGAGCAACAAAAAAGTGGTTTTCGATTACTAATATGTATTTGTTTTTGTTCCTTAATCTCGAAATATAAATGGCAACCCTGGTATAGTCATGAATTAAGCAAAAATAAAGCGGTGAAAAGTTCGGTGTATTAAATTATAATCTTCTATTTTCAATTATTTGAAAACAGATAAATTTATATATATAAAACTTTAGAAACAATCATAAAACGCTTCTAACGTTCTCTACAAAAACACTTCGTATTATCACCGACAGACCCTATTAATTTATTGTCAGAGCACAGCAACAAAATCAGCTAGAATATGAAGACAATTTGTGAAGCGAATGCCGGTATCAACAGCAAAGGCAGCAACAGAAACAGAATCAACATAGTTGACAATAACAACAAACGCGGAGACCCAGCTCAGTCGGCATTAAAATTAGCCGATGCGAATCAGTTGAAGTCTGGTAACGAACGGTGACGGTATTGGAATCGTGTGGTAGCTCTAATAAAGCACTCAACTAAAATAGTACGTAAAGTTATACTATTAGTACGAACAAATGACTAGATAATAGAGTTGGAAAAATATCCTTTAAAGGCGACATGGAAAAAAAATGAAGAATATGAAAAATTGTACCTCTGCATAGCGTACAATGCAATGCCTTGTTTTTAAAATTCTTCAATATCACTGCTTGATGTTGACACCTACCGGCTTAAAATTGAAAAAAGAAAGAAAAATAACAGTGTTCGCGAAAATAAAAAAATAAAAAATGTTTTTGGCATGCAAAGACGTGTGGAAGCGATTTTTTTATTAATGCTTAAATGCAGTGTGGGGGAGATGGTGTATTTTATTATATTTTGTTTTTACTGGAAGCTGTATTTTCTTCTTATTATTAATAAAATTTATAACATGAAATAGAAAAGCAAATTGGCTTGTAGGCATTTTTGCTTTTTGTTATAATTTTAATTGCCTAAAAATTCTTGAATACACATAAACTTGGCCTTAGTATTTATTATACAATACCTCTTGATTTTTTCACTGCCGCTATTTAAATTTTATTTTATTTTTTTAATTTTGTTCTCTTGGCATTTGGATGGCCAAATGTTTTGTTTTTTTATTATTAGATACTTTTAACTCTTTGTTTTTTCTCCAATTTCGCATTCTTTGTGTGTGTGATTGATTATAAATTTATTTCTTTAAAATTTGGATCTAAAAAATTTATTTTTTTTTGCTAAAATTTGTTTTTATTTCAAAAATTCTTGAATTTATTTTCGTAAGTTTAATGCTGATGTTTTTCATTAAATTTTTTTTATTACATATTTTTTATAAAATTTTTTTTATTAAATTTTTTTTATTAAAATTTTTTTATTAAAATTTTTTTATTAAAATTTTTTTATTAAAATTTTTTTATTAAAATTTTTTCAGTAAATTTTTTTATAAAATTTTTTTTTTTAATTCTTTTTATTAAAATTTTTTTTATTGTAGTTATTTAAAACTTACAGGAAATTAAAGTTCTGTTGAATTTATTTCAATAAAAACTCTTTTCATACAAAATTGTTAAATTATTTAAAATTATTAAAAATTTCTTTTTTTATTTGATTTATTTTTTGGTCAAAATTAATTTTTATTTATTTTTTCATCAAAAAATTTTGTCATTTTAATTTTATTTTCATTAAAATCTTATTTTTACCTGAAATTATATATAACTTCTTAAAAATTTCTTGAATTATTAAAATTTAAAATTAAAATTTATTGAAACTTTAACGCTTTTTGGCAGATTTTATTAAGAGATTTAATTTTGAAATATTTATTTTTTTGAAAAAATTATTATTAAAATGATTGAAGGACCTGCGGCATTTTTTCTTGATAATGTTTTATGTCTTATGGATCAAGAACAGAACTGCTAGGCAGCTTTTTGAAAAGGGTTTAGATTGCAAAATAATGGCACCACTACTTCTACCACAACGTTTGGTTCCCATATCAACCGAAAGCTAACTTAGTCTGCAGCTAGCAGCAAATCTTTTAAAATTAAACTTTGCAAAATTAAAAAAATAAAATATTTACGAGGTGTGACAATTAAGTAATTAGACTTATTATATTGCCGCGATTGTGGTAATCTTGCGATCTTAAAACTCCCTTCCTCTTCTTCCGGCATCCTTTTACTCTCCATTGAAATATTTGCCATCTAGTAAAAGTGCATAGGAATAGTGCTCTTAGTCGTGCCCAGGTGTTTCGATGTCATAAAGAGTTTAAAGAGGGGCGTGAAAGCGTGGACGATGAGGCGGGGAAGACGAGGAGTGGAAAACAATGATTATTGCCTTTATTGATAGCAAATAAATTCTTCCGCCAGGGCAAACCGTAAGTCAAGTCTGCTATCGCCAAGTACACGATAGATTGCGAAAACGAGTCCACAGGGTGCGCCCAGACATCGCTCGTAACTGAATTCTTAATCACCACAACGCCCTCAGCGTATCCCAGTATTTGGCCTCTAAAGGAAACGCCGAGTTGCAACAACCTTATTCGCCCGATATATCACCCTGTGACTTCTTTTTTGTACACTAGAACAAAATCGGTGTTCAAAGGAACCCATTTTGAGTCGATTGAGGAAATCCAGGTGGCTGTGACGAGAGTCATCTCGAACATCCCAGTCGAAGCATTCCAGAAATGTTACGAAGCATGGAAAACGCGCTGGAATCGTTGTATAGCTGCCCGAAGGTACTACTTTGAAGGGGAGGACAGAGTTGTAGAATAATTTTTGAATTTACGGTTTTTATGGAATCAGTCTCATTGCTTGATTGTCACACCTTGTAAAACCTAAATTGAAAAAAAGTGAATAAATATTAAACATAATTTAATTTTATAATATATATATATATATACTTTGGTTTGTAACATTGATACTGATTTTTTATATTCTCACTTATCCACAGAATGTTATAAAAGTTTGACGACGGCTGAACAAAGAAAATTGTTAACCATGAAAAAGTGATAAAAATCAATTAAACGAAAATTTTCAAGTAAAATTAAATAAAATCGAAAATAAAAACTGAAACAGCGAATCAATAAAAATTAATTAAAAAAGATATATTTATTAAGTGAATCAATAAAACAACAAAAATTGTACAAACATATACATATATGTACATATATGAACTTAAGCTACTGTGTATACATATATCGGCATGTGTTCGTTTACTCGTAATTTTGTATGTGTAAGGTGTAGCAATATCCTTTCGTCTTTTTCTTCTTCTTCTTCATGTAAATGTATTCATGTGGCCTTAAAAATTAAATAAACTATAGAAATTGTTTAATGAAATACTGAAATAAAATAAAAATTTTAATTTAAATGCTAAACAAGGTGAATGCGAAATAAATTGTGTGTGTGTGTGCCTGTAGAAAAATTGTGAAATAATAAAAAATTTAAATATAAACAGCAAACAGGTGAAAAAAAAATCGAAAATACAATAAGCAAAAAAAAAAAAAAATAAACTGTAAATAAATTAAAATACGAAAAAGCTCATGGCAAATAAAGAGTAAAACATTATTATAGCTATAAAAAAATCAAGCGCTACAACGTATTGTACTATTATTATCAGCTTATCAGCGCATAACAACCAAAACAACGTTACAAACTGACAAAAAACGTGCATTCTCAGCGGTAAAGAAAAAAGGAAGAAACGTAAAACAACGACAACAACAGCACATGCGAAAACAACGTCAAATTTACAAACACACCTTAACACATACAGCATACATACAATATTTAAGGAAATACTGTACATACTTATATTAATTTTCGGTGCAGCATTTCAATTTGACTTCGACACAGACAGTGGTGGTACGCAAGCTGCGAAATATCAACGCACTCGAGCTCGGGATTTGTAAAATAGCATATTGCGAAAAGGTAAGCTTTGTTCACACAATTGAATTTATCAAAGTGGAAATTTTCAAAAGATGCTCAGCAATTTCTTTTTTTATTTTTTTTTATTGTTTTACGATAGCCAGCGTGAGGACTTCGTAAAATCTCCTCACATTATCGGTCTGTGCTGAATTAATCGTTATTATGACTATTTTTATAGTCTTTCAATAATTTTTTGTTTGAAAAATGATCTCCACTCCAGAGTGTTGCTATGCGAAATCTTACAAATTATTGCGACACTATCAATTTTCACTTATATTTTCGTGAATGTGCTTCCAGGCATACACGTACCTTAACCGCTCAGGGAAGAGAAGCGCATGAAGCGCGCGTGTACTTCGCATAAATTTTTCACCTTCATTTTTTATTATTTTTTTATGCTTAGTTATGTCCGCTGCCATCTCTCCGTATTGCCTTCAAATGTGTGTTTCTTTTTTTTTAAGTACAATAAAAGAACTTTTCAAAAATTATTATGTTTTATTTATTTTCATTTAATTTAACTGTGTTATAGATTGTTTGATTTTTAATTTATTTGATTTTAGTAGATTTTTTTTTTCATTTGTATTTAATTTTCCCTTAATTTTATTTATTTTACTAAATCCAATTTAATTTTATTCAATTAATTATTTTAATCTGTATTTATTTAATTTTATTTTATTTTATACCATTTTATTTTACTTTTTTAGTATAATTTAATTTGATTTTAAAATTTTTAAATTTTATTTTATTATTTCATTCCAGTTTATCTTATTTCACGTTATTTTATTTTATTAGTTATTTCTGTATTTATTTAATTTATTCATTTTTTTAAACTATTGGCTTTGTTTCATTTTAATTTATTTTGCTATTTTACTTAATTTTTATTTATTTATTTGTTACCTAAATTATTATAATTATTCAGTTTATTCTCCTTTATTTTATGCCATTTTATTTCTTTTATTTCTAATTGTATTTTTTGTTTGTCTTATTATTTTAATTTACTTCATTTTGTTCCATATCATCTTTTTCAATTTAATTGTTTTATTTAATTTTATTTCAAAATATTATATTTTATTTTGTTTTACTAAATTTGATTTTATTTCTTTTATTTAAAATACTTTTTTTGATCTATATCTAATTTCACTATAGCTATATTTATTTTTTCTTTTTTTTTGTTTTCTTTGTTTTGTTTTATTAATGTTTAATTTAATTTAATTAATTATTTAATTTTTTCTATTTATTTGTTTATTTTATTCTATTTTATTTTACATCGTTTCCTTTAGTTTAATTTGAGTTTTTTATTTTATTTCATTTTATTTAACAATATTATATTTTTAATTTTGCTTTACTAAATTTGTTTTATTTATTTAAAATAGTTGTTTTAATTAATATTTAGTTTATTTATATCTATATTTAATTTATTCTCTTTCTCATTTTAGTTGCTTAGATTTATTTTAATTTAATTTATTATTTTATTTTTATTTATTTACTTATTACTTAATTTAATTTAGGTTATTCCATTCTATTTCCTTTCCTTTAGTTTAATTTGTGTTTTTTTTTTTATTTTATTTCAAAATATTATATTTAATTTTGCATTACTAAATTTTATTGATTTAACTTTTTTTATTTTATTTTATATATTATTTTTTTACCTTCTTTTAGCATATTTTATTTAATTTAATATTATTTCATTTTTGTGTTAATTTATTTTATTTTACCTCTTTTATTTTACATTATAGTATTTGTTCCTTTAGTTTAATTTTTGTTCTTTTTGTGTTATTATTTTATTTAACTACATTTTGTTTCATACAATCTTCTTTTCAATTTAATTTTTTTATTGGATGTATTTTCACAATATTATATTTTTAATTTTGCTTTACTAAATTTGTTTTATTTCATTTAAATTAGTTTTTTCAATTAATATTTAATTTATTTATATCTATATTTAATTTATTCTTTTTCCATTTTATTTGCCTAGATTTATTTTAATTTAATTTATTTTTTTAATTTTATTTATTTATTTATTACTTACTTTAATTTAGGTTATTCTATTCTCATTCCTTTCCTTTACTTTAATTTGTGTTTTTTTATTTTATTTCAAAATATTATATTTAATTTTGCATTACTAAATTTGATTGATTTAACCTTTTTTATTTCGTATTATTTTTTTACCTTCTTTTAGCTTATTTTATTTAATTTAATATTATTTCATTTCTGTGTTAATTTATTTTATTTTACCTCTTTTATTTTATTTTATTGTATTTGCTTTCATTTAGTTAAATTTCTGTTTTGTTTTGCTTTATTGTCTTATTTGGATTCCTTTGTTTCATACAACCTTTTTCAATTTAATTTTTTTATTGAATGTAATTTCACAATATTATATTTATAATTTTGCTTTACTAAATTTGTATAATTTTATTTAAAATAGTTTTTTTAATTAATATTAAATTTATCTATATCTATATTTAACTTATTTATATTTTTCCATTTTATTTGCCTAGATTTATTTTAATTTAATTTATTATTTTATTTTATTTATTAATTTAGTTTTTCTATTTTATTTTTTCTTATTTGTTTTCCTTTACTTTAATTTTTGGTTTTTTTATTGTTTTATTTTGTTTTATTTTATTTCACATTATTTTTTTGTGTTAGTTATTTTAGCTTATTTAATTTTATTTAATATTATTCCATTATTGTGTTAATTTGTTTTATTTTATTTAACTCATTTTTATTTTACTTCTTTTATTTATTATACTGTATTTGTTTTTAAATTTTTTTATTTTATTTAATTCAGTTTAAGTTAATTTATTTTTTTAGTTTAATTGTATTTGTTATAGATTATTTCGTTTTCTGCCTTTGTTTTTTTATTTCATATAATTATTTTTTTGCCTTATTTTGGCTAATTTTATTTTATTTACTTTATTTAATGCAATTGTTTTTGATTGTGTTCTATTTTTTATAATTTTCATTTTTTATTTAATATAATTTTTTTTTGTAAGTTATATAACTTTTATATTATTTAGAAATAATTTTTTTTAACATTATTATTAATGTCATTTTATATCACATTATTTTATTGTATTAATTTTTTTTAACGTCACTTATTTGTTCATTTTTATTTTATTTTAATATATTATAATTTTGTTTAATATCTCATTTTATTACCCATTTTCTATTAACATTAATTTATTTCCTTTCATTTAATTTCTTATTATTATATTCTTATTTAATTTTACTTATTTTATTTTGTACATTTTTTTATTTCATTCCTCGACGATAAATTTTATTGAAGTATTATTTATGTTTGCGTTTATTATTCGTCATTTGCTTTTGCTTACTCGTTTGTTTATGAAAAACGACAGTATCAGCTGATACTGTAGATATTATGTAAAAAATCCAAGAGGTAGGTCAATATGTATGTATGTCGATGCTTATATGCATATAAATAAATATACATACATACATAAGTGTATGTGATACTTTTATATATGGAAGAAGTTCAGTACATTTGAACTTCTTTCCACTTGCGCACTTGGTCGTTTTCATGCTTATATATGTGTATGTACATGCATACATATGCCTATATGCATTTAGGTAGGTATTTTGTTATTGTTACTCTTTTTACTAACCATTTCTCACAGCTGTTCTTGTTTGTTGTTTGTTGTTCTTTTTGCTTTTTCTTTATTATTTTATCTTTTTACTGAGGTGATTGGGAACGTGTTTGTCAGTTGTTGCTCTTCTGGTTGATCGTTTGGCTGTTTTGGTCTTCATTGCCGCCAGTTAACTTGAGTTGCAGTGCTCGTACTTGTGCAATATTTGTAGTTGATCGTTGTGATTTTTTGATACCGATTTGATGTGTGTGCTTATTGTCCATTTGTAAAAAAAACTATATACGTATGTATGTTCATTCATATATGATTTGCTCCATATTATGCTGAGGTGCTCAAGTAGTCAGTTAGTACAATAGAGCTAAAGTGAGTTCTATGTAAGGAACGTATGTATGTATATACATGCATATACATACATATGTATACATATACAATACTAGATTTTATTTTCCATCACAGCTGATCATAAACCCATTTATTATGTAATTTTTTTAGTGTAACATTTCTATAATAAGCTAGACAACTTACTGGAGAGTGGGTTAGAAATTAATAGACTCAGAATTTTAGAGCGATCCCAGCTGACAGGCTCACTTCGATTAGTTAGTAAGGTTCATTAAAGAGAGAGAGAGAGAGAGAGCCAAAATCGGCAAGGAAGAAGAAGCTTAAAACTAAAATACTTTTAGGAGCTTGTATGGATGTCGGCTATTAATACGGCGTCAAATTTTAAGCTGATAAGCAAAATCCCTTACACCATTCCTCAAGCTAAAATACTCTCACAAAAACTTGTATGGGGAAACTAGCTTGCGGGAAAAGGATGGATCACGAATATACCTATGAAAGTATAAGTAAATCTAGGCAAACTGGGTCAAATCGAGATCACCCGATATGTATGCTCTTAAAGGATATTAGATATTAAAATGCAATAGCATTGCAAGGTAAATAAACCAAAACAGTTTATTTATAGGGAAATTAAAGTGTCCCATATTTTGAAATTCAATTAAATGTTCCCCTTAGAAGGAAACCATCAACCCTTGCCGTAGTGCCGTCTTATTGAAAGTACACGTTGTCCAGATCAATACCATCTAATTCCGGTTATAAAGAATCATTGATCATCTCTCTAAAGCACAAGCTATTCTTTTTCGTTAATGTAAGGTCCAATGACCCCACCGGCCCATAAAATGCACCAAACAGTTGCACCTTGAGGATGGAGAGGCTTTTCAAAAATAAATCTTGGATTTTACGGAACCCAGATGTGACAGTTTTGCTTATAGACATAGTCATCGAGGTGCAGATGGTCTTCATCAGTCCATATGATTTATCGATGAATTTTTTTTGAGGTGAATTTTGATAATTTCAAAGCGTTGAAGTGGTTATGCAAAATAAGAGCTCTTTTTGCAAAAC